GCAGCACAACCAAACACTCTCAAATTTGGCAAGTTAAGTGGTTTGCCCGTGAACACAGATTCAGGGCATTTCCCTCCTAAAGGAACAGACGGGGACAGATTAACCACATCAACGGCATAACAAATAGCTTCCCCCAGAACTTATTAGAGAGCCCAGATGAAGCTAACATAGCCCTCACCCTCTCTAATAAAGTTCTAACCAACCTCTCAGCAACCCCATCCGGTTGGGGTGTGGAGGGAACAGATTTATGCATAGAAATACCCCAAGTATCACCAAACTGATTATCACAAAAATCAAAATTGACATTGGTCCTTAAAAAATTAATTTTCTTATCGATTTGTTTTTCAACAAGGGTTTTCCAGTTTTTAAACTTATCAAAAATTTCAGATTTATTCTCAATCAACAAAACCCACACTTTCTTTGAAAAATCATCAATCAACGTCAGAAAATAATTTTTCCTACCATGAGTGGAAACACTATAAGGACCCCACAAGTCAGCATGAATACAATCAAGTACCTTAGTACACTTATAATAGGAGTACGGCTAAACTTAGGGTGCAGGCCTTAACACGAATAAGTGGAAGGGAGGCCTTGGTAGGACCAATATCTCCAACATGTCATAACTTATGAGTAGTAAATCAAGTTAATTTGACTTAAATACTGAGTAACAGACTTCTCTAAAAAAAATACAGTAGCTACTCATTTAAATGATTTTTTTTTTTAAATTCATACGGAGTAGTACTTTTGTATTCAAAATATCTTATTATGTTAATTGCTTTTTATATACACTTCTACTATGCTTAGAGTGTGTCTATGCTTACAAAAAGTTCTGGATATTTGATTGGTAGTATATTATCAGGACCACTTATTTTATGTTTTTATAACACAATTATGGTTAAATAATACTTGTACTTTGTATTAATTATGGCTCGTCAAACCCCCTACAGTATTGCCTTTTCTTTTCATAACTTATACCCTAATGAATTCATGTAGCAAACTAATTATAATACCACCCACAAATTTCTCATATAAAAAGAAAAGGGGTAATTTGAGTTTGGACCCCATTTTATTGTCTAAATTGAACTTTGCACCCCATTTTTAAAAGTCTTTATTTTTGCATCACAATCCCATATGAAAAGACAAATATGCACCTCTATTAACAATTTTGTTGATCTTCAACATATTCTTGATCGAGAGCATTTTTGTCTTTTTATATTGGGGTGGGGGTGAAAAAACAAATATTATTAAAAACAGGGCTATGAAGCACGGATACTTCCCTAGAGTAGCGTATCGGCGTATCCGATACGTTCCCGTATCCGATACTCTAGGATACCCGTACCGTGCGTTCCCGGGTCGTCTCTGCAATTTTTAAAAGTTTTCATTTTTTCTTTGTAATTTTTTGAAAGTTTCCGATACTCGTATCCTGGTGGATACCCGTATCAACTTTTTTTTTTAAATCCCAAAATTTACTTAATAAAATTCTAAAAAAAATGAAAATCTAAAACTAAATTTTACTTGATAATCAAATAATGGGCCTATATGGCTATATCTGAATTAAGTCATTAACTCATGCTCCAAATTGGGTACTTTCACTTTTAATTTCAAGATTGTAGTTGTTTGACTTATTTCTCGTTTTATATTTATGACTTATTGACTACATTTATATTTCGAGATACACTGTGTATATGAGAAATATTATGAATTTATTACTAATAAGTATCTTGAAAAAGGAAAATGCTTCAATGCAATGAATGAGTAGACATCATAGGATATTATGTGTGTGTGTGTGTATATATATATATTCAAAAAAAATCTATTTTTAATATTTATAAATAGACCCCTATAACTTTTAATATTTGTAAATACACCCCATAACTTTTAATATTTATAAATATGGCCCCGTATCCGTATCCTACTTTTTTGGGTTTTGACGTATCCTCGTACCCATTTCCGCGTTTCCGCGTTTCCGCGTAGCGGTATCAGTGCTACATAGAAACAGGGTGCAAAGTCCAATTTGGACAATAAAATGTTGTGCAAACTCAAATTACCCCAAAAGAAAAACATGATTAATTTGGTGCAGGCCAGAGAGGAGATCAAAGAGTACTATGTACTACGTATAATATACATCTCATTTTCATAATAGGCTGTATATTTTTTCAGGGGACAGAGCCACCATGGGACCAATATTCTTTGACCAGCTGTCCATAAAACGATCCTTCTTTCTTCATTAACTTCATGGGTTCATCATACTCTACAAGTTTCCCTACACAAGTTAAATCAGAAAATGAAGTCATAAAAACTTTGTTGCACATAGGAATGTAAAAAAAACCGACCGGCAGTGACCCGCCCTGGCCCAAGACATTTGGGGCGGGTCCGCCCCCACCCCGTCTTCCAAATGGGGCGGATCCGCCCCGCCTATACAATGGGGCGGGTCCGGGTATTAGTATTGACACGTGCCGCCCGACCCGCCCTGACCCGACCCGCTCAATACATAAAGCATACATACTTTTTCTTAAATTATACTACGTACTACAAATATACTTCAACATACATGTGTGTATACAGTAAATCATAAATTCTTTGATCTTATAATATATTAATACATATATTAGAATGAGATGAACGACAGATTATCAATGTCTTCTTTATATATAGCATTTTAATACATATGTTCAATTATTAGTAAAATTAAATAGATTAACTATTCAAGTCTAAGTAATCTTTCCTTAATTTTTGAAATTTTTAGGTTATCATGAATTTGATTTAATATATTAATTTTTAATTATTATTTAGAGATAAACTTTATGTAGATTCAATTGGTAACAACTTCCCACAAATAAAAATACATACTAGCTAATTAGATTGCGGCGGGGCGGACCCGCCCCGCATGGGGAGGACCCGCCCCGCATGGGACGGGTCATGGGTCAACAAGTTTGGACCCGTGCAGGTCACGGGGCGGGGCGGACCCGCCCCGCATGGGGCGGGTCATAGGTCAACAAGTTTGGATCCGTGCAGGTCATGGGGGGTCCGCCCCGCCAAGTCAACAAAAAACTAACACTTGTGCCATTTATAACCCCCCATTTCAGAAAATGAGTGATATAACTATATAAGGTACTCCGTAGTATTTTTGTTGACCTGACCCATTGTCATGCCTAGTTGCACAATGAGGATACAACAAGCCAATGGGTCAAACAAACATTTCGTGCTTTACCAGCATTATTAATTTAAGAAGCACGGAAATTCTCATAGCACGCATTCCATCATTTTCAAAACGAGGAAACGTGTTAAGAACTTGGAAACTTCAAATTCTAATATCCAGGCAGTTTCGGTTATGATACAACAACATCCAAGCCTAGTCCTAAAAGAGTTCGGAACTAAGTTTTCCGTTTTGATCATGATGATCATCATTTACCCCAGTGCCGCAAAGGCTCCCACCTACGGTGGGGTAGGGGGGTCGGATGTATGCAGTCTTACCCCTGTACTTAATAAAGCACAGAGAGACTGTTTCCGGATGACCCATAGTGAAAATTGCATCCAAAATTGCATGGACTGACCGTTGTTTCATAACAAAGAAGCGCAGACAGTTTAGTGAACCATTTTTCTTTATTCCATCATATTCTCAAGCCAAAAAATAGTGAATCTCTGGCTCCATTGCAAATGATGGAACAAGAGTTAGAAAATCGTTTGTTGAATTAATTACGGGATAGAGTGTATAAAACTCTTGAGTTTTTGTTTTCTTTTGGGAAAGTTCCCGAAATAGGACTAAAATAGTTTGGAAATTCCAAAATAGGACTACCGTGTTTTTTATTCCCAAAATAGGAGTAATTACTGCCAAGTTTGGAAAATACTGCCATGTTTGAAGTCTGGTACTGCCAAAACATGACAGTAATTAGTCCTATTTTGGGAATAAAAACATGGCAGTCCTATTCTGGAATTTTCAAACCTTTTTAGTCCTATTTCGGGTAATATCTCTTTTCTTTTTTATGGGTTTTTTAATTAGAGCTGGTGACTTTTTATAAAATTTGTTAGTGAGTTTTTTTATGAAATTTGTTTATTGCATTTTAACTCTAATCATGTCCTAGGATGTAATAATTTTTATATTTGATCATGCACCCTTTTTATCATTAATTATCTAACAAAGACTTAACAAAGTTATATGAACAAAATAAGTGTACACATATATGTATACATTTTATAAATATATCCCTATATTTTATATTGACATATTACCCAAAATAGGACTAAAAGAGTTTGAAAATTCCAAAATAGGATTGTCATGTTTTTATTCTCAAAATAAGACTAATTACTGACATGTTTTGGCAGTACCAGACTTCAAACATCGCAATATTTTCGAAACTTGACATTAATTACTCCTATTTTGGGAATAAAAACATGTCAGTCCTATTTTCGAATTTTCAAACTCTTTTAGTCCTATTTCGGGAACTTCCCTTTTATATTTACGTGTTTCCCCCATGTTTTGTATCCTTTATTTTAAAAAAATACAATTTTCCCAAATAGTTTTCCATTTCACATTTCGAGTATCTGTGCGACTTAGTTTTTAACAGATGTTCATTTAGCTCTACTGAAGAGTTCAATTCCTCACTACAAGGATTCCCATGTAGAATGAAACTATACAGAAAGAGGGAAAAAGTAACAAAAAAGAGGAGGGTGATCTCACCATCACTCATGGCAAGAACCATTGTGCAATCCATAACAGTGGGTATTCTGTGAGCAACCGTGATGACAGTACAATCAGCGAATTCGGTCCTGATCGTTTTCTGCAGAATCATGTCTGTGGCATTGTCGATTGATGCAGTGGCTTCATCGAGCACCAATATCTTGCTTTTCCTTAACAAAGCCCGGCCAAGACAAAACAATTGTCTCTGCCCCATACTCCAGTTTGCTCCATCTTCTACAACTGCATCAACCCTCTTCTATCAGTGTTGGTAATAATCTTACTACGAGCACACTACTTTCGCAACACAAACTAAAATACTTACCCAATGAATCAAGCCGTTTCTCTTTCTCCTCCACAGCCTCTTTGAGCTGACACTTCTGAAGGACCTTTGGAGAGAAAAACACATGTGCAAAAGAGTGCAAAAAAAACAAAGAATGAATGCATATAATACGTAGTAAGGCCTAACGAAAACCCGATAAAGCCCCAACATAATCGAACCAATGAACACCCCTACTTTATACACATGCACATACTGGATAGAAATTGTGGCTATACCTCCCATATTTGCTGGTCAGTGTGTTGACATAGTGGATCTAGATTGTATCTCACAGTTCCATGAAAAAGGGTAGGGTCTTGGGGAATAATCCCAAAGCGAGACCTCAAATCGTGAAGTCCAATCTTAGATATGTCAATTCCATCCACAACAATCCTACCACCTGTTGGCTCTACAAGACGGAAAAGAGCGCCAATAAGAGTAGTCTTCCCACTCCCTGTCCTACCTACAATGCCAATCTTGTGTTCTCCCTCAAAGGTACAACTAATTCCTTGTAGAACAAGTGGGCTACCTTCCCCGTACTGGATCTGTTTGTCAACAGCAATCATTATACCAATCCATGTACTGTCAAAAAGTAGCAAAAAGGGGAGTTTACCTGCAAATTTTGTATTTCCACTCTACCCTTTGTCGGCCAATTGATAGGAGGGCGATTGTTTTCCATGATCTCAGGAGCTTCGCTTGGTACATGCATGTACTGCTTTAATCTTTCCACTGAAATGATATAATTTGCTATGGTGCACTGGTTCTGGATGGAATAAACTAGGGACATGTTAAGCGATAGACCATAAGATAATGCCATCCCAATTAAACCTGCAACATCATGGATGATTTTTAGCCAACAATATATAAAATATAATATGTATAGACTATAGAGGCCATAATAAAGAGAGCTAATATAGAATTATGGGCAGCAAACCTGAGCTGAAAGTCCCAGGTGGAAGCAAAACCATGCAAAGTGCAGATGAGGCAAGAACAGTTGCACTTATTGCTTCTAGCCTTTGAATCAACCACTCATTAGCTGCAAAGTTGTGAAAAAAGGGACTGGCATTAACATCAACTAGCTTGAGGTTCTTCGCAAAGAATCTATCCTCCTGTTTGAAAGCCCTGATTGTCATTGATCCAGCTAGAGATTCAGCCAAATGGTTTGCCACCGATGATTTGGTGGTCCCATTAATTCGCATCAATTCTTTGGCAGAGGAAAAGTAGTATCTCTGTTATCAGGGCAACCAATCAGTTCATGTAAACTGAAATGTAATGATACAAGGAGATAATTAACAAACAATCCTGAACTCTTACCTGTAACTGAATGGCAAGATATACCATTGGTATGGTGACAAACAATACTTGCCATGTAACCAACGCTAGCACTGTCAGATTAGAATAAAAGTTTATGGTTGTTCCAATTGCAAAAATCAAGTTAAAAGGGACATCTAGATCAACAATACTCAAATCCACAGACACCTGCATTGAATATGAGAGGTTTAATAAGTACATACAAAATCAAGGGTCAATGAGTTTGTTCCCAAGACATAAGTATATTTATGTACATAAAAACATACCCGGCTGAGTATCCTCCCTAATGGTGTGGAGTCATAAAATGACATCGGAGCACGAAAAAGAGAATTTAAAAGCTGCGAGAAAAGAGAATGTGATGATTGCAAACCAAGAGTAACTGTCGATATGGATCTGATGAGTAGGAATATCATTGAGAGGACTCCAATCAGAAAGTAAACTGCAATTAGATTCAACGTTGTAACTTTAGAGTTTTCAACATTTGTCGCCATCCATGAGTTTTGTAACACTTGTCCGATCGCAAATATAATGTGTGACAGAACAGCTAAGGAAAAGAACAAGTAGCCCTTGTTCTGACTTAGATACTGCAAATAAGGCTTTAGTCCAGTGTCTCCTACTTCCCTTTCTTCTTTCTTAATTAACTGATCCCCTTGAGAGTCTTTAGCTTGGTTTTCGAGTTGAGCCTTTTCAATATCTCGTGTAAACATTTCATTCCTTTGTGAAGAAGTCACCTCTGCAAGTCTTTCTGAACCAACAGTCTCTTTATGTGCAGCCAACAATATTTGAAATTCTTTGCTCAACGCCAATAACTGGTGATAAGGAGCTGCTTGTAAAATCTCTCCATCTGACATCAGCTGTTAATAGAAGTACCAGTCGAGAAAATAAAAAATAAGCTCTCAAAATTATTTCATTTAAAAATTGAGATTCTGAGAAGATCTAAAATCGAAAGAGTTACAAAGAAAAACAAACCAGGACAGCATCAAATGCGGGAAGAAAATCAACTTGATGGGTGACAAGCAAAACAGTCTTCCCTGAGAGCGATCCCATGACATATTCCTGCCGAAGGCGCAAATCAACCTTCACATAAACATGAAAAATAATGAACTTCAAGAATATATATGATAACATGAAATCACATTGAATAGGCTTGTAGCAGTATGCGCATCAACAGCACTGAATGGATCATCCAACAGATAGATATCAGCATCTTGATATAGAGCACGAGCAAGTTGGATACGTTGCTTCTGACCACCACTAAGATTAACTCCTCTTTCTCCTATTTCAGTCAGATCGCCATAAGGAAGTAACTCAAGATCCTTTATCAGTGAACATTTCTCCAAGGTTTCCTGGTACCTCTGGTTATCCAATGAAGAACCAAAAAGAATATTATCTCTAATGCTTCCTGTCTGAATCCATGCTGACTGAGAGACATAGGCAATTCTCCCATATACCTCAATCTGTTAATAAAAAATAATTGAGTAAAATCTTAAAACTGTAGAAAGCCAACCAAACCATATGTGTGTATGTGCGCCTGTAATTGAAGATGAGACTGAATAAATGTTATCTTCAAGATGCAGTTAACGGTATATGAATGAGTACTTACAGTTCCTTTGATGCATGGAACTTCTCCGAGAATTGCTGCCAGAAGAGTAGATTTTCCTGAGCCCACCTCCCCACAGATAGCAATCTTATCGCCCGGCCGAACGTCCAGATTAATGTTGCGAAGTGTATATTTCGAAGGATTTTCTTCCCATGAAAGATTGGCTGATCTGAGAGATATTCCATAACTTGCAGAGCTGTGTGCGCTATGCTTCCGTCTCACATTAACATTATCTAGTTCCGGAGCCTTGAGGAATTTGTCAATTCTTTCAAATGAAACTTTAGCTTGAATCACTGCACCAATAACATCAGGAATTGTTCTAATAGGATCTTTAACCAGGCGGAGGGTTGCTACAAAGGTGAAGACATTGCTTGCACGCAATGGAATTCCTAGAAAGTAGCAAGCTCCAAAAGTAGCCGTTGAGACTATGACAGGTGAGGACCATAATAGAAAGGTATTATATGCTTTGCGCATCAGAACAGATGATAACCACTTCTCTTCTACTTTCCTTAAACCCTCAATGACATTTTTGAAATGAGTTTCCCATGCATACAACTTCAGAACCTTCATATTCACAAGAGCTTCTGACATAGCCCTAAGCCTTTGATCTTGTGCATCCATCAGCTTTGACTGGAATTTATGTTGCAATTTTGCAAGGGGGGCATTGCAGAGTACTGTTAGTACTATTACTAGCAAAGTAGCAAAAGTCGCTAGCCCTACCGCCTGAAAGAGAATTGCAAGTACAAAGCAGAGCTGAAGACTTGTAGTCCATATCTGATGTAACCAAAATGGGAATTCACCAATACGATAAGCATCAACGGAGGCATAGTTCATAATCTCACCACTAGAGTGGATTAGCTTTGAGGCATTAGATAAACTCATTTGCTTCTTATATATGGCTGCTGTAAGTAATGACCTAACTCTCAAACCAATAAGTCTACTTCTGAAGTACCACTGCCTTTGTGACAAAGATTCCAAGCACTTTGAAATGAAAAGCAGTACAGCCAATGCATATCCCTCATACTTAAAACTTGTGCTTCCTTCAGCAACCTCAATGAAGGCATTAAGAATCATAGGACCAGCAGAAACTGTAATGATCTTCACGAGTGCAAAAAGTCCTGATACAAAGAGGTCCTTCTGATGGCACAAGAGTATTGTCCTTAGGATTGAAGGTTGGGCCTTAGGTACCATCTCTTTCTGTTTATTCAGTAGTTCCATAAACATCAAGTAGCACGATTCCGCCGTATCGAGCTTACGCAATTTGGGTATGTCTTCATCCTCAAGAGTTTTCTCCCTCCCTAGTTTCAATAGTGGATTCATCCACCAAAATGTGATTGTACTCAAAGTCCCAGCTTCAGCAAACTTACTCACACGTACTACAGGATCAACTTTGTCTTTACCACTTAACGGAGCATAAAGATCATTTTCTTCAAATCTAGAGCTCTTGTAAATGTATACGAACAATAAAATTGCTCCTATGACAGACACTACATCTAAACCTATCCCCAGTCTTGCTTTTTTGTGAAGAATAGCAATGACAACGGAGAAACAAAAAGAAATTCCAGCAAATAATAAGGCCAGAAAGGTCAGGAGCTTGACTGAGAGTTCTGAAAAATGCTTTCCAAGGAGGGTTACAGTCAAACTGAATGATAACCATGTAATTCCATGAAACAATAATGGTAACCACCAAAGCATGGGCAACATGCTTTTGGTTTTCATCACTTCCTCTTGTAAAACCCAAATACCCAGTGACAAATATATCACACCTACTAAGCCATTAAAGGTGGAACATATGAACCGCAGACGATCAATGCCACAACTGCTCATAGGTTTTGATGTTGACTTGGACAGTAAAGTGAAAAGAAGGATGAGCGAAAGAACCACATCAAAAGATATGGTCAACAAATTATTGATGCAGGAGAAATGATGGGTATCAAAGACCAAATTAGTTATACATGGCTTCCCATTCTGATGGATGCAATCTGGTGTGCCGCAGAACATAGACCAGAGATTTTCCATCTCCTGTATACCTCTAACTGCATATCCAGTTTATAGTAATCAAAGTGTTTAAATCAGGAAGGAAGTTTTTAAATTTCTGAAAGATCAGCCATACAACTTGCATCACATGAGCATAAATATATGTTGGCATAGAATGTAAGCGGGTCCTTAAAAAAAGAGCACATACAGAAAGGAGAATTATTTTATGTTGCTGTTGTTACTGAAAGAAGAAAATGGCAAGAAGTTTTGCTGCCCAGTTCTCACCATTAGTTAAGCTAGAACTCCTAGTTTTATAGTTTAAAGTGGAAATGTTTGACCAATGAGCATGCAGATCAAGACTTGCTCAAATTCAGCAAGCCAACACATGACAACATGAAACTTCATCATTCATATATACATGAAGGATACTTGATAGTAGAAGGAAAAAACACAGAGAATATACCAACGAATTTCTTTTGTTTTTAAGGCCTTTAAAGGCAATATATATAGTTATAATCTTCAGAACTTTTTATTTTTCGCTAAAGGTGTTTTTGCATTCTAATCATTAAAGATCACTATTCCATTTCCACATGAATAACATCACTTTTTTTTACTCCAGGGGATCTGGGGGAGGGGGTTGGGGGGAGTCTGGAGTAATCAGGGTTGAAACTCACTCCATTGAGTTTCAAACCCTTGTGTGCCTAGCGGGATTCAAACTTGAGACCTCCCACTAGGCACGGTAACCTCGCAACCAGCCAGAGCCGGCTTTGGGGAATTTGGTGCCCCAGACAAAAAATAAGTTTATATACCCGTAATACTTTAAATCAATACTAAAACTGAAAACGTGATTACTACATAATTCACTCAAAACGGATTACAAAAGGTAATAATTAACTTACAAATGATATACTAGTAAAAAAATGTATATTCATATACTACGTACTCCCAATGGGGGATCTATAATTCAAGCTATGGGTGTTAATTTTTTCTAAAAATAAAATTTGAAAAGACAATAAATAATTAAACTAAATTTATACATGAGAAAAGAGTCAAATAAGGCCTTCTACTATTATGAAATAGTCACATAAGGCCACGTACTCAATAAAGTGTCATATAAGTACCTCTACTTGTAAAAAGCAATCAAATAGGTCATAATGACCTATTTAACACCTCTTAATCCCAGTTTTAGTGTATTTCTGACCATCTTTTTGGAATATATTATACGGCATACGTCGAATATTTAACTAAGATTGGTTGAAATACAAGTCAAAAAAATCGACATGTAAGCTAAAACCAGGATTAGGAGATTGTAAATAGATTGTTAGGACTCATTTAATTGTTTTTTAATTTCTCTTTATTCATGTATACTAACATATTTTTCAAAATTCTAGGTGTTGATGTGAACACCCTTGAACTAATGTGGCTCTACCACGGCGTACTACCCCCGTCCCTAAATTAAAGTTCTGGTTTGACTTCACACATACTAAAGAAACAAATTTTACGAGAGGTGAATTTTACCGTAGAGTACCCTATTTTGACAATATTTCACACTATTTAATTTATATTTATTTACCAAATAAGGAAGTGAGATTTTAATTTAGGAACATCCATAAAAGGAAAGTGAGACTTTGATTTAGCGACGGAGGCAGTATGAAATAGACAAAGCTATAAATGTGCTACCCAATAATCAAACCTTCTTTCCTTTTGAAGTGAAAATTTTATTATAAATTAGTAATTAATTTAATTTATTTATTTTTAAAAAAGTAATTAATTTAATTTATAGAGCCAATTTCAGATTAACTTTTGCTTTGTTGTAAATTTAGTCCGCATTAAATTACTCCTTATTAGTGAAAGGTTCCATACTTCCATAGGGTGGGCATGAAGACTTTGAGTCTTGGAGTTGGACTGTTGTACGGTTGGCCTGGGAGTAATTTAGTTTTTAATTAAAAAAGGTAATGCAAAATGAAATGTCAAAACCCACATACGTAGTACGTATATGTAATAGGTGTTGTGGCCATGCAGTTGATGCCTCGATGGGTTTAGTGCGCCACTTTTTGTCTGTTAAAATTTCACATTAAATTATCATTTTAGCATCCATATGAAGAGCCCGTTTGGTAGCACGAAAATCGGCTGTTTTGGCTGATTCTGCTGAAATTTATGAAGTTCTGGTTGAAGTGGCTGCATTGGCTGATTCTGTTGATTTAAGAAAAAATTATTTTTAAAATATATTTTATTAATAAAATGAAGAAAAAATTATATGTAAAAATAGCTAAAATGATCATCTACAGTAACTTCAGTCAATACAGCCAGAAAAGTAACGTCAATCTTACTTTTTCAGCTTATTACACAATTCAGTGCGCGAAAGTAAAAATTACATGTTTGGTAAAAAAGTTGGCTGATAAGCCTGATAAGCTGAAAAATAGTGGTTCCAAACGGCCTCGAATGCTAACAACTAATACTAGTTTTTTTTAAATATGGTGCCCTCTCTCAAAATGATGCCCTAGGCAATAGCCTATGTTCCTAGGGCCTAAAGCTGGTACTGCAACTAACCAGCTAGGCTGGAGTGCTTGGTTTGAATAACATCACTTTATTCAACACCATTAGTATTATAAAAACAACATTTTCTAGCCTCTACTCAGGGACGGATCCAGGATTTCGAGTCAAGGGGGGCGAAATTCTTTTCGTTAGTCTGAGGGGCGAACGTTTTTGGTTAGTGTAGTGGGGTGAATTTTTTTTCACTAATGTAGGGCTCTACGGCTAATTTTTA